CAGGTAGAGCGCAGAGCCAAAAATACCGTAGCTGTAAACTCCGAGATGCTAGCCAGCGAGGTCGGCTTACGGAAGAGGCGAGCAATCTGAAGAATGTTGTGTGGGGCGTAACAAGCTGCTGGCAAGCGACCTATGGTAGGAAGTGGTGGGGGTGTCAGCCTCAAATATTTACGGGCGCATCTGCGCCGCGTTCTCATTCGTTTGCATCGGGAAGTTGTACCGTGTTGTGTACAGGGGCTGTAGGAGTGTGGCGAGATGTCCGGGAGTAAAGGGCCAGACGATTGCGTGATGTAGGCACACGGGTGCACGACCGGTTAATTTTGGGTCGGGCGATGTGACGGTTCATTGTCAGGGGGGAGGAGGTCCGACACGTGCGATCCACGTGGCTTGTTTTTTGCGGTAAGCAGTGTTCTGAAGGAACGGTTGCGAGTGTTTTTATAGCATATTCATTGTAAATTGGTAATATTTTAATTATTTTTTTCTTTTTTTTTGAATTTATTTCTTATTTCTACTACATAACCGGTATAACTACATGAATCACAGTACACACGCATTTGTCTGATTACCTCAGCGTTCCGGCAGAGATTTAGAAAGACCATGGGGAAAGGGGGTTCCTCGCAAGGGCGCCCGTGCTTTCGCAGGGTGGCGTGCGAGGGGGGCGGGCATCCGCAACTCTCGTGGAGGCGGGACAAGGAGTGCAACGTGGGCCTGCGCTCGCTGCGCGCGGGGGCGGGGAGGGGCGGGCGCAACGACGCCCGGAGTCGGGGGGGCGCGCGGCGCGGCCCCATGCTAACAGCAGTAAGCGAATGTTCTTCCTCTCACCACGTTGCTCCAAACTAAATGAATTGAAGTAACAACGGTAAAAATTTCCCATGCTAACAGCAGTAAGCAAACGTTCTTCCTCTCACCAAGTTGCTCTAAACTAATTGAATTGTGGAAACAACGGTAAAAATACCCCATGCTAACAGCAGTAAGAGAACGTTCTTCCTCTCTCCAAGTTGCTCTAAACGAATTGAATTGTGGAAACAACGGTAAAAATACCCCATGCTAACAGCAGTAAGCGAACGTTCTTCCTCTCTCCAAGTTGCTCTAAACTAATTGAAATGAAGTAACAACGGTAAAAATTTCCCATGCTAACAGCAGTAAGTAAACGGTCTTCCTCTCACCAAGTTGCTCCAAACAAATTGATTTGTAGAAACAACGGCAAAAATTAACTACATAATATAATAAATTAATGTGCATTAAAATGATTACTAAAATTTATCTATCGCTTTTACTATTTAATTGAAATAATCTTGTTTATTTAGTGCAACATATCTGTTATTGACTCGTTTACCTTAATGTATAAAAAATTAATTACTGTTGTCATACTATCATTGGAAAGAACTGCCAGCACTGATTTGCCACTGGCAGTGGTCTACAGCAGGATGTCCCGGTCAGTTCGACGCCTCAGCGCTCTCCCGAGAAAGATGCCAGCTGCTTAACAGTAGTACAGAAAAATATATCTACCCAAATGATGGAACAATCCACGAAAATCGCGGCCGAGTCGGAAAGGAGGCCGTCACTTGATTTCAGCAAATTGCTGCGCCTGGCCTCAGTGTCAAAGCTGTAATGTCGCCGGTTGCAAATTGGAGAACCATGAGACAGCAACGTACATAACTTAGCTGAATACAGTACCTCGGCGACGCTAAATTTTTTAAAATCCTTGCGTTTTCACGCAAACCCTTCGCCTAATCGAGTAGCGAACTGAGCTAAGGCACGAAAGACGACCGATGTACATCGGAAATCGGGGATGTGGAAGTTTCCTGTCGTGACGCGGGTTGCATTGATAGAATACCAGAAGCCATGCCACGGTTAATTCTTGGCTATCCGGGATGATCCGCGACTCGGTCAATTGTACTGACGTTTCGGCCATCTCGCTGTGACCTTCTTCAGAGCTATATTGCGTTGAGCAGTATAGCTCTGAAGATGGCCGAAAGGTCAGTACAATTGACCGAGATGCGGCTCATCCTGGATAGCCAAGAACTCCGGCCGCGGCCGCGGAAGCCTACGAACCCATGCCACGGTATGCACAGGGCACAACCAGTGAAGTGGTGCAGTGGACAGAAAAGGGGCGTTCGGGAAAAGAGATATGCCTTAGAAACATAATATTTGAAAATGTATGTAAATAAATCGTATATAATTAACAGCTCGTGTCTGTGACATTATTTACTACAACCCCACACTTCATAAAATTACATCTAGAGAACCTCCACTAAAAACTCTTTGTGTATCACAATACTTTCTCGTCTTACGTAGTAGAGCTAGAAAGTAAAATAATATTATAAATACTAAATAATAGTAAATAGTCTATAATGTACAATTTAAGATAATGAATATCCTTTCAATTTTCAAACAGTATTTATATGCAAATTGCAGCAAATTTGAGAATATTTTGAAAACGTAATTGAGACTTCGTGTAAAGAACCCCTCCACCCCAAAAAAAGGAAATCAAAATATCCGTTTTAAACTTGTGGCATCTCGAGTTCCTTCATTTTTGTCAGAGAATATCAATTTTGGAGAAATCGTCTGAACGGTTTAGGCGACAGCGTTGACCATAGATAATCAGTTTTGCCATCAATCAGTTTTTCACTATCAAGGAACCACAAAAGGTGGATTCTTACTTCACAACGTCTTAGAGGAAGTAATTTTCTATATATAGGAACAAGATATATTCAGATTTTGAAATGAGATCATGAACAAATGGTAATAGCTTCCACGTAATTTTTACATGAAATAGAGGTAATTTTTAAATAGTTATTTTTTTAAATAGGTCCAATTCTTTTTTCAATTTTCTCTCTGTATGTAGCAAAGGAGGGTAAAAAATATGGATTATGTTGCGAAAATGGTAAAAAACAAGTAATATTGCTAAATATTGAAAAAATAGTATGGAATAAAATATATTCAAAAAAACACATCTTTAAAAAAGGCTCTGTACCAACTTACAAATGTTTTAAAAACTGGTAGTTTTCGCGTACTTTTTACTTCAATTAAAGGCAATGTATAAAAAAGATTTTTCAAAAATTGCCCCATTTTTTTTCTTTTTTGACACGGATAGAAAAAGGGACGTTTAAGAGAATGGTGTATTTACGTTGAACTCTCTGAATTTTTGAAAACTACAAAAGTTACAAATAATGCGAGGATGTATGTGCAGTTGTAACACCACTAGTTGTCTAATGAGGTGGTATTACCAAGTGTATTACACAACACTATCATAAATAAGTATTTTTGGTTATAAAACCTTGGCTGTCACTTAGGTTTACAAACATTAATAGCGTCTTTTCCTATTCATCGACTTGATTAATGATGGTAATAACTATCTCTTCTGTCAATTCTGCTTTTCATATCTCTCGAGGCTTTACGTCCCTAGAGATGATCCTTTGATTTTCAGCAAGGCGAGGTCTCTTTGCTTTTTGTGGTCCTTTTACAAACATCTGCAAGGTGTCTGATGAATTAGTATAATATTTGTAAGGGAATCTGTTAACATTGTTGACAAGCCTTTGTATAATTTTAAGTTCAATGCCATGAGTTTCTTTATGTTTCACAGGTTTCATCGCCCAGACGTGATTGAGCCTGGCGAGCCTTTCAAGCCTCCAATTGGCATCCTCTCTGAAGATGGCTGTGCACGTCAACGAAGATACTTTGAACAAAAGCCTTTGTGGAGTTATTGTCACAGGCTGATGTATTTTATCTCAGTAGAAACCTCGAAACAATATTATGATGGACTTCATTTAACGATTAGCATTTAGATGCATTGAAGGTTAATAAAAAAGCGCATGCGACAATAATCGCGTGACAGCAGACGAATGCCCAGAATGTGTGTTCTGTCCTCTCCAGAATTTAAAAAAATCTATATTTCTTTTTCTGGCTGGTTATCATTACGAGTTATACTCGACATAAGTATGTACTATACTCTTTTCAAGTCACTGTTAACGGTCAACTGATTAAAATAAAAATAGCAATTTTGATATCGTCCGTGTATCAATTTGATCCTTTTGAATGGAAACCTGATTGTATCTGTGTCCGTATAATTACTTTCAAGAGTTTTCGATCCAGCAGGCTGTGGCTGGCATGCACCCGAAATGACACAGCATTCTCGAAGTATCTACCAGATACGAGGGTTGGGACATAATTCATGGCAACTTCTTTTTATGTGAGAACACGAGCATGGGTGGAAAATGTGATATATACACATGAAAGAACAAGGAATAACTAAGTGCATGGACTGTATTTACTTGCCTGTCAGGGTGACGCCGCGTCCATGGCGAAGGTGCCGACGTTTCGGTCGCCATTCTGCGACCTTCCTCAGGGCGTAATGCATTGTGCATGCTTCGCCATGGACGCGGCGTCACCCGGACAGCCAAGTAAATACTGACTCCGGCCGCGGAAACCTACGCTCTTAGTGCATGGACATTTAACGACACGACAAAATTGTGTTTTTCATATTAAGGTATTTGAAATGACAGTACTCGTTTCATGTTTCAAAGCATTTTAGTACGCATGAGTTCACAATATTCCAAAAGGTTACATATTCTTTGCTCAATTAGGCACATACTTTAATACCGCACGTGCCACATCGAGCCGAATACCCACAGGTCGTCACGAGCGTTGCTAATGACTGTATTACACGTCTTTGCAGAAAATCCCCCGCGCATCTCGCGACTGTCCGATATGGAAGGGTTCCTAAGAGCTTTCACCAATTCCCTGAGACATTTTCGGGCATTTCTCACATGGAGAATGGCTGTCTTGAGGTATGAGCGCGGCTCGAAACATGTTACATTCATCTCGCACAGCGGTAGTCAGACAGCTGATTTCACATTGCTCTGTGCTAATAGAGACACACAAACCCATTTGTTGATGTGAACACTACCTACTGCAGCATTTCTTTCACACAATAAATAAAATTGTACGATTCAATAACATTTCTTCATGACTTCTTCCCCCAACCCTCGTATTTCATGACACGAGTACCTGATAAACGATAACGTATATGCGAGAAACAATGTATAAATGGTGAAATTAACTCTCGAGTACTCGCGCGAGCCCAGGCAATTGATTTTGGTGGGCGCGCAATCTCGACTGAATTTAGAGAGGTGGGAGTATAAGTAGCTTCAGATAACATGTTTCTTATTCCATTCAGCCTACTTCAGAGCTTTCAGAGTTAGCACGTTGTTTTCAGACAGTTTTAAAGTCAGTTGAGCTACAATAGTAGCTAAACCGACTTTAAATCTATTCGATATCATGCACTATTTGTAGTTCTGTACAAACTGTCAAAAAACATACACTCACAGTAGCGAGCTTGCAAAACACATCCACCACACGGTAATACATCCCTCCCAGTCCTGTCTCATTCTTCGCACCTCCTTCAGACTCGACTACCTCCCCCATTATTCATTCCTCTCCACCAGACGCCCCACCTGCCTCACCTCTCTCTCGCTCTCTCTCGCTCTCTCTCTCGCTCTCTCTCGCTCTCTTTCGCTCTCTCTCGCTCTCTCTCGCTCTCTCTCGCTCTCTCTCTCGCTCTCTCTCTCTCTCTCTCTCTCTCTCTCTCTCTCTCTCTCTCTCTCTCTCTCTCTGCAGGGAGTCGATACTTTCTTTATACACGCACTCGTGGTGAATATGAGATAAATTAATAGCAACTACAGACAGAGGCAACAGAAAAATGTCCGTGTAGGTGTATGTAAAATATTCACTTAATGTGTCATAATGATCAATCCCTTGCAAATAAAATTGAAGTTATTGAGGCAGCATTGCACTACAATCTGAGTCAAATGGATGTGTTTTGCGGGTTATTTCACACATTTCGAAACATCACAATGAACTAAGCACTCTCCAAATTTCTGGTTTTTATCTTACTGAATCCTCTTATAAAGCGAGGGAATTAATTAAGGGGATTGGAGGTTCTTGTATTTCTGTTAGAAATGATATTGATTCTGCCTTCTTATTAAAATTCAATATTTATTCAGTTCAAAAAGATTTTTGAAATTATAGTCGTACTCTACTGCGCTACAAATTCTTACTTTGCATCTAAAGGCCTCCTACAAAACGAGCTATATTTATAAACATTGATTTTCTGGGAGAATCTAGCATAAGAGATCGGTTTCTCAATTTCATTCATTTTCTTCAGTTAGACATTATAGTGAATGTGCCAGCGCGAAACACAGTTTCATAAAAAAGTTATAGAGCTAATATTAACTAACAAACACCACAATTAGACACTAAATAATAACATATGGTCTACGTTAAAGTGGCTACATCGCAAAAATTCTTGAAATTACTAGTGACTTCAACGCTGATAGTAATTTAGTAAAAATACACGTATGTGTAGATTATTTACTAAAGGTGACATAGAATAATTATTTACGGACTACTTGCTGCATGAATCATGAGACGTGATTTATAATGTTGATACAAACAAGGAAATGGTGTAGAATTTACACTTTCATCATAATTATAGAATTGAGGTGTAGTTCTGTTGTATGTTTTTAATTTTGTAGAAATAGTTTTCGGTCGCACCGCGGCCATCTTTAGTGCGATTCAGAGGCGGCTGGGAATCGCCTGTCTTCTAGAAGCGGAAGTCCCCAGCCGCCTCAGAATCGCACTGAAGACGGCCGCAATGCGACCGAAAAAGATTTCTGCAAAAATAAAAACATACGACAGAACTACGCTTCAAATCTACTATTAACATATAATTATTTTCTTTTAGTTTTAATTTCATTTTCGCGCATGTTTACCTTTTAAAAAGAGATTATTAAACCTTTCACGGAAAAGCAAAATTTGGATATCACAAGGAATTAGTACATCGTGTAAAGGCAAACTTATTTTTTACTTCATTTGTAAACATCACAATGTTTCACTAGGTTTCCACGCCTTCTTTCGAACACACAAAAGAATTTTTAAGAAAGTAATAGCTCAAGTGAAAAAATTAAAAATGATCTGGATATTTTAAACTCTTATACAAAATGAAATTACTCTTAACAAAATTAAAGCAACGAGGAAAATTCTAACGCTAGTAGTATTACAACAGCGCGTACTTTCTTGCGTTAATCGTAACTTTTACAATTTTCGAAAATTCAATGTGGTCAACGAATATGAGACCTGCATCATACTTTTAAGCGTCCCTTGTTCTACATGTGAAAATGTTTAAAGAACAAATTTGGAGCGATTTTTGAGAAAATGTTTTTATAAATTGCATTAATTTCAAGAAGAAATTATGCAAAAACTACGAGACTTTTCCAAAAGATTGTGTATTATCTCTTTTAAAGATTTTTTAAAACAGGTTTATTTAAGACTAAAATCTCTCTCTTCAAATTTGTAGTTTTACGATGTAAACTATTCGCAATATTCGAAAATACAGAGAGTCGGAAATGGTACTAGCATCAATTTTTAATATCGCGTATGCGTATAGAGCGAAGTGGCTCAATGCGTAGCGCGCTGACTTTGCAATCGGGAGGTCTGGGCTCGATTCCCCGGGCCGGCGAGCCTGACTGGGGTTTTCGTGGCTTCCCTCGGCCATTAGTCGAATGCTGGGAAGGTTCAAGAAGTCCTCGTTCACCTTTCGCCAATATCCTATCTCCTCCTAATCTAATAATAATAATAATAATAATAATAATAATAATTCACAGCGGGGACAAAGTTGCTCGCTCTCGTGGTCTACCACACATGTCCCCTGGGTCACGCTAAATGAGCAACAGTGATTCGCCACCTACGCGCTTGACCATTGTGGGCGTGCGGATCCCTACAAGCTTGAGGGAAGGTCTGCACGGATATACTGGTCGGCGCGACACTGGTCGGCGCGGCTAACAATCAAACAACAACGTATACACGGAGTAATATACGTAGTATAGAAAACGTTATGTATATGCAATATTGTGTGGCAATATTGCGTGCAATTTGTTCAATTTTAAAAAATTACAAAAAACATGTCTTCAAAAACGGATTCAATTTTTTTCTTTAAATTTTGGTAAGATTTATGCTAATTGCACACCATGAAATTATATAAACGCCATATTGCTCTGTTGTTTTGTTTTTCAAAAATTAGAAAACTAAATTTTTTTTACTTGTCTCTCACGTCGTTAATATTTATATTAGCGGAAATTTGTTCACATTATTATATTCATGAATATATGTTCTTTAAATAATTTCATATAAAGCTT